ACTTCGGACAGCTCGCCTTTACTACTTCCTTCACCGCTTCCTACGTCACGGACCTGTTTCCCTCCCTTTCCATAGCATTTTAGGATTGCAGATACATTAATCTAATCGTCATAAACCGTTCCCACACTCCGAACAACTTGCTTTTACTACTTCCTTCACCACTTCCTACGTCACGGACCTGTTACCCTCCCTTTCCATAGCATTTTAGGATTGCAGATACCTTAATCTCATCGTCATAAACAATTCCCACACTCCGAACAACTCGCCTTTACTACTACCTTCATCACTTCCTACGTCACGCACCTGTTTACCTCCCTTCCCATAGCATCATAGGGCTGCAAATACCTTAATCTAATGGTCATAAACAGATCCCATACCCCGAACAGCCTTAACTACTTCCTTCACCACTTCCTACGTCGCGGAACTGGTTCCTTCCCTTCCAATAGCATTTTAGGATTGCAGATACCTTTATCTAATCGTCATAAATAGTTCCCACACTCCGAACAACTCGCCTTTACTACTTCCTTCATCACTGCCTACGTCACGGACCTGTTTACCTCCCTTCCCATAGAATTTTAGGAATGCAGATACCTAAATCTAATCGTCATAAACAGTTTCCACACTCCAGACTGCTCACCCTTACTACTTCCTTCAACACTTCTTACGTCACGGACCTCAAGCTGGTGTCGTCATTTGATTATATTTATGATCCATACCGTTTCTGTTCTAATATCTGTGGAATAATGCTATCAGCTATTTCTTTATCTACTGCATCAAAAAGTCAACAGCTGATCATATGTCTTTGTTTATGTGTCAAATACTGCTTTCATAAGGATAACATTGAAACTTTGAAACCCAGTGGGGCGGAATCCTGAGAGACTTTTTTAACGCCATATAGATGTTGGCACTCACCGATATGGTCTTTATCACCAGGCAAAATTTGAAAACGATTGATTCAGCCGTCTAGGAGGAGTTTGCGTATTACGAAATGCACAAGAGTCGACGTATAAGAGCTTCGCTCGCTCCGCTCAATAAATTTTATTGAGAAATTTTAGACGTAAATTTTACTGGAATGTAGGCTAAGGTTCTAGTAAAATTAACGTCTAAAACTTTGTTTTCCTCATATCAAAATCGGATTTGCGACAGTAATTTTCTTTTTTAAATCTCTTTAAAATAATGGCTGATTGATATGGGTTGCCTTTAAAAAAATTTAAGTTACTCTTAGCAACCCTGTTTGTGGGTGGGGGGTGAATCTCTAAATATCACCAAAAAGAACCTTACATGACCCTTGAAACGTGTATTGAAGCTTGTTTGAATTTATGCATATTTGTGCTGAGACCATTCACTATTTAGCAGGTTAACCTGTTGTTCCTTATTTTTACCATTAGCTAGGATTTTTTTCCAATCCCGTGGGATCTTGATTTTGGACCTCTCATTAAAAACGTTTCTCCAAATCCCCTTCTCTCTTTCAATGTTTTTAATAGATACATCTAAATTGGTATCCGTAATAAAGTATATCCTGCTGAATTTCGGAAAATGGCTGAAGGCAATCTGTGCTAGTTCACCAGAGGTTTCTGGAATATTAGTAAAAACCTAAAAGTAAGCCATACCGTCAATTACATACATACATTCTTCAATCTTGGAAGGCTCGTCTACTACATACCCTTGTTCTCCAAAGCATGGAGCAGTTTGGCCTTTTCTGTTTTTGTTGGGCATCCATCGGCAGTGGCTAATGCCCATGGTCCTGGATCTAATGGGTATGTCATCAGCTTCTCAAGGTTAATATCACGTTCCTGGGACAGCAGTAAAACTCCAGAAAAATATTTCTTTTAGCTCTTATCTCAACTAATCTGTTTGCATGCAGCTTTCCCTAGATTATCTACATTAAGTAAATTGTCTTCCACCGATTCGGGTACAGGTCTTCCAGCTGATAAACAGACCATCTAGGAATTCTGATCACGGTTTTCAACTTCAAGCAGAATAATGCATTGTTCAAAAGCATCAAGTACAGTACTTGCAAAATACTTTGCTCACTTTCAATTCATTTTATTTGCTTGCATGTCACTGTGAGAACAATCTGATGACTTCACCATACTTGCATTTTCAAATTCTAACTAGAGGACCCATGCTGCTCTGCAGCGTTAACATAAATATAATATCCGAGAAAATATCAAATTCCTGATTTTTGATTGAGCAATACAGTATCTTGAGCTTAACTGATTCAAACGATCAATAGCTCAAATTAAAGCCTATAATTGACTGATATTTTGAGTCTAAAACATATAAAAAACGTAAACAATACTGGAGCTATTGATATTCATTCATAGAAAAACCTTATAATTTTTTTTTTATGTTGGATGTTCACCTTGCGTTTGCTTGAAACCCGTCCGATTTGAATAACTAATATCTTAAATGCAAGCCGGTATTTCACCGAAGGTTCTTAGACCAAAATATATCGGGTTATGCAATTATAAATGGTAAAATACCGTACAATTTAAATTGAAATACGAATTAAAAAATATATCAAATCTATGTTTTTTGGTCGAGTAATAAAGTATATAAATATACAATGATGCTTGATGTGAAATATATGTGTGCATACTACCAATTTAAGACCTCAATCATGAAGATCGGACGTGTAGAAGAGTCAAAGAAACTTGGAAAAGAAAAAAAACAAATTTACCTCCCTTTAGAAATACATGGGGGACAAATTTCATTTACGTATAAGCCGAGTGGGACTGTCGATAAATATACTGATGCTTTATGTGAAATCTGTGCGTGCATACCTTCAATTTGAGACCTCAATAATGAAAATCGGGTGGGTAGAAGCGCCAAACGAACTCGGAAAAGAAAAACCAAATTTAACTCCCATAAGAAATACATGGGGAGAAAATGTCGTTTACGTATAAGCCGAGTGGGACTGTAGACAAATATATGCCGATGCTTGATGTGCAATCTGTACGTTAATACCTTCAATTTGAGACCTCAATCATGAAAATCGGTCGGGTAAAAGAGGCAAACGAAATCGGAAAAGAAAAACAATTTTTTTTTATGTATATATATTCTAACTATCATGATATTTTCGTGTTTTCTGGAACGTGCTGTAATTCACAAGTGGCAAACACCTAAAATCTTAAAGTACGTGTCAATACGAGCACAAAAATGTATATTTCAAAAATTCCCACCAGGGGGGGGGAGGGGGGGTATAGACCAGCCTCCGCTCTATTAGGTAATTTTCAAATCTTTCTTTGTATAGTTGAAAAGTTTCTTTGTTTGAGTCAAATTGTTCGAAATTGGAAATTAAAGTGATGTTGGATTGTTGAGTCTTTGACATACCTTGAATAGCTGAAGACAAGGTCTTGATTAATATTTCAAATTGTTCTTGGTTCATTTTGAAAATATATATATATAAAATAAACTTTAAAACAAATAGAAAACACACGTTAGGCTCTTCTCATCACCATTTCTGTTATGTATTGTAAGTTTATATATTGAAATGAATAGTTAAATAAATGTAAGTTGAAAAATGAGCCTTATTTTGTCACTGGTTTATTTACATTAATTGAATCACATTTTTTTTTAAATAACAGATGATTAAATTATTAAATGCATAGCAAATTAAACATAGAGATACAACAAGGGGTTTTTTTAGTGAGTAGTCTGATAATTTCAGGAGTCTCACACTGGCTACCTGTGTGCGTAAAAGCATTTTCCCTCCTCTCCCTAAAAAAAACATCTCAAATACTTTTGTATAAAAACCAGTAGGCCTACTATTAGTTCATTAGTAGGTTCATCTATTTACAACTAACTCAGTACATTGTACTTTGAATTGTATATTATCTCCATTGACCTGGCCTATTTTATGACATGTATGTATGTAATGGCAATAAACTATTTGAATTTGAATTTGAAGTATAACTCGAGTTGAATTGCTCGGAAGAAGCTGGAATTATTTCCAAACCGACAAGTCTGATTGAATGGTAACCTACGAATTTGCACTGATTACAAGGTTACAGAAAATAAACAAATCAAAGAAGAACACCATCCAACACACTTCGGATCAAAGATATTTTTCACCACACTGTGATGTTTTTAGCTGTTTTACATACGTTAATTGGTGGCTGAAAGTTACGTCTTGCTGGCCATGCCAGCTGTCATCGTCATTTGGGGACCGGCGATCATGAGAATATAACTTCGATTTCGAAAATTGCAATTCTAACAGATTGTTATATTATAACAGCAAAATTTATCATCCCAGAGAAAAAACATTTTTTTGAGACCCAAGTGAGGCCCTTTCCTAAGCCAAGGCCCTCGGCAATCTCTGTGTCCACCGTTAGGGAAATACGGCCCTGATTTGGGGGCCTATATTTGTGTGGGGCCTGGGTCAGACGGCCCCCCTCCCCCCCCTGTATGGATAAGATGGCATTGGAGGATAGTAAATCACATTGCTAATGGAAAGTAAACCAACTGCTGTGGTTATTAAAGCTTTAAAAATCTAATATTTTGAAAATATTGTAAACCAACTTATAAGGTTAGTACAGTAGAACTTTGATAACAAGATCTTCGATAACAAGTCACCCTTGATAAAAAGGGTCATTTTTAAATCCCCTTAAACCTATTTTACCCCTAATCACATGTTATTGCAAACCTCGATAAGAAGTCAACCTTGATAACAAGTCTTATTTTATAATCCCTATGAGAGTCTTGTTATCGAGGTTCTACATTGTATTACAAATTTTAAACAGCATAAAATTGTAACATAATTAAGGATTAAAACAAAATTTTTTCACACAAATATCCCCGGATACATTGAGTAACTTCCTAAATGTTTATGGCGATCGGATGAGTGGTTTAACAAGGCATAAAAGACAGATGGACATAAATTCATTTTTAAACAGCCTAAATAATTAAATTATAGAAATCATTTCTGGTTTAGGCTAAAGCAAAAATATTTTTCCTCAATGCTTTGTGCAGAGCTGTTATTTTGATTTGCTTCTCAGGTGCCTGAAAGTGCTATAGTAGGAGAGTATGGACACGGTTACAAATATGCTGCTGGATTCTTAAATGAAGGAAGAATAGGAATTGGAGCTCAAATGATTGGAACGGCCCAGGGGGCTCTGAATCACACTATTCCTTACACTTTGGAAAGAAAACAATTTGGACAGGATATATTTTCCTTTCAGGTAACTTCGTTTTTTTTTAACTACCGGTATGCTTTTTGTGGATGGCATTTTTGTATTAACGTTTTTTATTTCTTCTGTATTTACCACCATTTAAAATGTCAAGTGTTTTTTGTTTTGATTTTTAGCCAAATTCAACATTAAGTTACTACTATCTACTAAATATTTCAGGTATAGTTGCACTACAGACGAATCGTAAATATGTATACTTTTATCCAATACAATGCATGTTCACAAATTCAAGGAATACATCAAGATCATACATTGGCCTTTATACAAAGTTAATCACTTATTGGCATTTGCTCTCCAACCTTCCAATGAAATATTCAACAATAAATAAATAAATTTGAATCTTTTTGCTTAAAAGCAGACGTTATAAAAGTTAGGTATGTCAGTGGTTTATGTTACTTAAATGCTGAGGGCAGCTCCGTTGACCCGACTGGTAAATAAAACTCTATCAGTGCCAGCTCGTTTCCAATGCTGTACTCTGGGTGCAATCCTCTTTATCGAATTGATGGTTTGAACTTCTGTGGACAAGACAGGGAGTTTCAATGATAGCATTCACTGGATTGACGTTTTTTCTCTGAAATGTAGTATGCAATCCCTGTTTCATCTTCTCAGAGACAATGTGAATAAAAAAATTGTGACCATTCTTGTAGTAGCGATTTAAAACGGACAAAGAATACCCAATCGTACTTTGATAATTCTTCTCTTAAAATGTTTACCACCCATCTCACTCACAAGCATTTTTCCTACCTTCATCGGACAGCCTACACACCTTCAACATAACCTTCAATAAGCTGCCGGTGAGGTGAATTGGGTGAATGAGCAGAACAAATATTTTTTCAATTAAAAAACTGAATGATGGCCAATTATTCATAATCAACTCATTATTACTACGATATTTTTAGGGATTACTAAAGTATATGCTTTAAAGTGCATCTATTTGATCAAAATCTGATATGTATGTACATGATTCAGTCGATGCAGCATCAGATAGCCCAGGTGGTTACTCAGTTGGAGGCAGCTCGCTTGATGGTCTACAACGCTGCTCGTCTAAGAGAGGCCGGACTGCCCTTCCTCAAGGAGGCTGCCATGGCCAAGTATTACGCTTCAGGTTAGTCGTACTTTCACCAAACACAAGCCTTTATGTGCATGCGTAGTAAAAACCATCAGCACCTTGTGAAATCTAGAACCAACCAAAAAAGTTTGAACCAATACCATGGAGGAGTATATTGATTTTCATAAAATTCACTATGTGTAGGCCTATATATACATACAAGTTTCAACCGTTTCTTGCATTTAGGTGGTGCACTTGTTGTGCATTTTACAGGTAACTCATTCTTACTGTGCCATTGCATTTAAGGAAAAGAAATTGATATTTCATACGATGCGAAGAAGAATACGGTATACAACAACAGTATTTTGGAGTATGGTTGGTTATTTGAATTTTACTAGCAAAACATACTTGACATCAGTGGTGGTTCCAAGGGGGGAGGGCTATAGGGGCTAAAGCCCCCCCCTTGGACCCTGGAAAAATAAATTTAAACGTAAATTTCGTCCTTAAAACACGCAATGTTATAAAACAGACATCATCAATGTAGTTTTTATTAAACTTAATAAGTGATGGCAGAGTAGTATTAAGTTCCACATAGGTAAACTTTGTGGACAATAGCACAACGAATAAAACAATATTACGCTATGGAAAGTAGTACGAATCATCCAATTTTTACATCAGTCAGCTGTTGATATGCAACGGCAAAGGCGAGCGAGCGAGGACTGGGATACAGGTGATTTCCTGATGTTTCATAGTTAGTTGACAAATTGTCTACTAGCCATTAACTTTACACAGGTATCAATCAGCAATCAGTGGTAGCACCAGTAGCCTATTACCATTGACTATATAAACACTAGTGTTAAAGTTTATATAGTCAATGCTATTCCTGAATTTGATACTATACATATTATGACAGATCTATGAAATGGAGAAAAACGTAAGGTTAAAAAACGTGCCTACTTGCTTGCATGGCATATAACAGGTGAAATGGAAGGTTTTAGGACAATTGGGCACAGTTCTAGCCGTTAGAAATGGCTTTATAAAGTCACCATATGGCTTTTAGGAGATATGGCTTCGTAGTCTACAGTGTGCATATGTTTTGAAATTCATGAATGCATAGTTCGTCATAGTTTGATTTTTAAAATGACTACTTGCTCATAACAAAGACGAAATAACAGGTGAAATGGGAGGTGTTTGGACAGTTGGACAAAGATATAGACATTAATAATGGCTTTAGAAAGCCAGTAAAAAGCTTTTAGGAGGATATGGCCGTAGCCTACAATATGTTTTGAGAATTATGAATGCAATCGTCATAGTTGGTTTAAAAAAATGTCTACTTATTCATGACAAATAAATGAGGAAATGGGAGGTTTTGCACACAGTTCTAGACGTTAAAACTGGCTGTAGAAAGTCACCTAACGGCTTTTAGGAGGATATGGCCGTAGTCTACAATATGTTTTGAAATTCATGAATGCAATCGTCATAGTTTAATTTTTAAAATGTCAATTTGCTCATGACAAACAACAGGTGAAATAGGAGTTTATGAACAACTAGCTGTAACCCGCGGGCTTTGCCCCGTTTAACTTCTTAATTTTCAAGATGATCTCGTTCGCATGGCTCAATCACGTCCTGGTTGAAGTTCGTTCGCTACGCTCACTCACCTTTAGGTTGGAGCTCGTTCGCTACGCTCACTCACCTTTAGGTTGGAGCTCGTTCGCTGCGCTCACGTGCCTTCAGGTTGGCTCGTTCGCTACGCTCACTTGCCTTCAGGTTAGCTCGTTCGCTACGCTAACTCGCCTCCAGGTTGAAGTTCGTTCGCTACGCTCACTCACATTTGGTTGCAAATTAGCTGTTGTCATAAATGTAAAAGAAATAATAGTGCTGCACCCTGTTGGTAATCCTTGTAACTTTAATGCTATTGAACATCATAGAACAGAACCAACTTGTTTAATTGAAACAGCTGTTAAGATTCATTAATTCCATTTCTCATAAGGTTAACATGGGAAACTCCAGAGCCACTGGGGCGGAGCCGATTGGACGGATCACGAAATTGATGGTGTATAAACCTATTCCATGAAATTCTACACGTAAGGTATGTACCAAGTTTCGTGGCAATCGGTTCAGCGGTGTCTGAGTTTATCACTGCCAAACAAATATATATATATATATATATATACACAAACATCCTCTTTTATACTTATAGATTGGGCACGGTTTCAGGTGTTATAAATGGCTTTAGAAAGTCACCAAACGGCTTTGAAAATTCCACATTTTCCCGAGGGAGGACCCCGGACCCCCCTGCTTTGTTGGGGGGTGCTCCACACACCCCAAGCCCCCCCCCTGACAAGGCGCTAGAACCGCCACTACTTGACATGGATAGTTTTATCCAATGATACCTATTGAAATCAACTGAAGGACTCAAGAAATGCAAGAATATTCAGGACATTATTATCAGTTATTTAAGATGGGGACGCCACTATGTGCGTATTTTAACCCAAATATGAGTGAAGGATGAGTGGCGCGATCTAGTAGTCTTGTTAGTGACTAAGGCCGACATGTTCCTTAGACACAGCTGTTAATTAATAGCCCATACACCTAACGGCAACTAAGGGACCTACAGTTAATTGTGGAATCCGAGGCACATTTTTTCCTCGTAATTAACGAATTGGTCTAATTATTAGGATATTACTGCAGATAGTCGTAGTACTCACTAGTGCGGACGTTAATCCACACCAGGGAGCATCGCATCCACGGTGCATCCCTATAATTATCCACAATTCGTGACCTCCTAGTAGCTGGATTACAGGACGACGCCACCCGGTCTGGTTGCAGGTCAAAAACCTGGAAGCAAGGTCCACTCAATGTTTTTTAGTGTTTTCTGTTTCTTCAATACCTACATAATTAAAATAGGAAGGGTGCCACTTTATCACCCTTGAGCAAATTGAAATATTCAAGATGGCGGCCAAGATGGCTTAAAATCTGTATATCTGCTACGTATCTTTCCCTATAGAAGGGACAGGATAATCATTTTGTGCCTAATTTGATGTTTTATTTGGAAAATTACCCAAAATAATCCATCAATATAAGTTTTTAATAATTTCCACATTAATTTGTTGCCAAGTTCCCTTATCAACAATGTTACCTAGTATTTACTTGTCTAAAAACATTATAAATCAATGGTTTCTGAGGATAAGTGCAACATTCAAACAACACGGTCATCAAATTGGTTAACTTACAAGCAGTTCTCTTCATTGATGCTTGTGCTGTAAATTACTGTGCACAGTGCATTATACTTCTTCAGCAACTGTGAATGACTTTATCAACTGCTTTTGAAATTATAGTTTTCTTGAATTTTGAAAAAAAAAACACTGTTCTTTAGGCTAGTCGAAATACGGTCCAACATCAAACTTAAGGTAAAATAAATCAAATATATGGGATTTTGTCAACAAAGGGGTTAAGAAATATTATACTAAAAATCGAGAAAAATCTAAGTGGCAGAAAAGCCGCTATTTTGGAAAAAGCTTCCGCCATATTGGATTTATGTAAGCTTTTAGTAAAACATCAATAGTTTGACAACTAGGCGTCTCAAAAATGTGCGGTTTGTCTTAATAGCTTCCTCATCAAGTTTACTTTAAGATAATAACAACTTTTATACCATTTAAATATTGATTTATTTTAAAGAGACAGCTTTAAATAGAAACAACATCAAATTTCAAAGATTTTTTTAGTGAAACCTTTAAATGTTTGCAAATACAAACTCAGGTGATAAGAACAATCATATTTTGTGGCTCTTAAAAGAATCTGCATTCAATTTTGAACAATAATCATCATCATATCAGTTTGTATATTGCTTTGAAGATATATTATGGGATATATTTGTTAATTAGTCTTCAACTTGGAACGCGTGCTGCACCACAGTTTGGTTAAAATACACTTTGAGGTGGGAAAAATTGCTTTGAGAACATTTAAGCAATATTTTGGAATCATACATATAGGGCAATAGTAGTAGGGAAAAGCCGGTTCTGGACCAACCCCTACAGACCAGAGATTCATCATCTTTTTACTCTTCCATCCACTCATCGAAAAGCCGTTTCTGGACCAGCCCCCAACAGACTAGATTATGTCACTCCCCCCACTCCTAGTAGAGTATATATGTTTGTCCTACTCTGGGATCTAATATAGGCTGTTATGGGAGTCAAAATCGGGAGGTAACGAAGACCCACCACCACTTTCCCTAGTAGTATATATATCTGTGTCCTACTGGGGGAGTTTATATGGGCTCTTATGGGAATACCTCCCCACAAAATCCGGAGGTGTCCTCCAACCCCACGCATGGAGTATGTATGTTTGTCCTGTGCTGGGGTTTAACATAGACCTTATGGGGACAAATTCAACCCTTGCCTCATTACTCAAGGGCAAAAATAATATTTTTTTGTTTTTTATTTTCTTACAGTGATCTCCTAGAAATTGTTTACAGTTGTCTAATGATGTTTATGGAAATGTCATAACTGAATCCAGTTTCAGAAACTACGACTCCGTATGCTGTTGTTCCGGCATCGCCTTGCGCGGTCGCGATAGCATTTACGAAATCTAACTCAATCTGGATGTCACTTCTCGAACGATCTGTGCTCATGGGTGGAGATGAGTGTCTATCACCAACAGTGGATAATCATTCTTGAACTCTGAAGGAGATACAAACAGATTGGTGTCTCCAAAGTTCACCAGACGTTATCTGACCAACTGTTCGTACAACAGTCTCCATTTGCCTTCAGAGATGTGTATGTTCTGCATTTCTTGAGGATAACGTTCTCCGTTTATTTTCACAGCGACATTTTTTATGTTGCAACTATCAAAACGGGAGGGAATTTTCTTCTGGTCATTCCAACGGCTGGTCATCCCACAATGACAAATTTCGGGTTGTATACATTTCTATAAACGTTTGTGATATCGAAGTTGAACGAGGCCCAGAAAACACTTTTTTTCTCAATACACTGCCACTGGTAATAGTTGTATACCAATTTGCTATGATCACTCAAACGGGTCAACCCATCGATCAATTG